CACACAACAGCACATTCTGAATGATCAGCGCCATGCTGCATATGATTTAGGAAGAATAGTACATTGAGTATGATCCCCTTATCACAGTAGCACCCAGTTACGTGATGCTGGGACAGGAGGAGCGCATTGTGAATGTGCTGATTTGCAGAGAGAAAATGCGCTGCGGATTTGTGGACAAACAATACAACAGCTCTGCACTCGTTCCTGTGATGGGGAAGCACACACAACATACAATCCGTCCTCACCGTAGGTTCACACCTATGCAGGTTGTGTTTGAGGAGTTTCTGCCTTGCGATTTGCATCTTTGCACTTGTGTTTTGTGGGATTTTTCTTCATATTTTTTTTCTTGTTGCCTAGGCAGATTTTAAAACACATCAAAACTGCAATACGTGCTTTTCTGCAGCGTTCCAATTGAAGTCTATAGAACCAAAAATGCAACGTTTTGTGTTTATACAAGTCCCAGACCCTTTCCAAAACATGCACTGGGTGAACAAAAAAAAAAAAAAAAAAAAAACAGATGTGAACCTGTCCCGTATGAAATCATGTTAAAGGGACTGTAGTGCGTGCAAAACACTGCGGAAAACGCTCAGGTGTGAACCCATTCACACCTGAATGGAGCATTTTTGTTGCATGTTTGTGCGCAATTTGTGCAGGCATTTTGAGTGCTGGTGTTTCTCTATTAGCCAACAGAGAGTAATTTCATCTGTAACATCAAGAATTTTTGCCATGTCAGAAAAGACACTGTTGGACGTGCATTTCCACGTATTTCTATGGGAATGAAAACACGCCAAAAAAACATCAATCTACCAGAATTGAGCTGCAAAATTTTTTTGAGCTTCACCGACTTTGAGTGGAGATGTGATTGATTGCAAAATCAATAAATTAACCTACAAGTATATAATACGTGGAAGGAAGAACAATTTGTCCACACTGCACCATGATCTACAACCACTGCACATTTTATTATAAAAGGTGGACTAACCCTTAAAAGCAATAATCATACAAACACCCACTTGGCGTATACAATGCAAGAAAAGTCATGTGACTATACCACGCTTTAATCTGGATATATATATATATATATATATATATATATATATATATATATATATATATATATATATCTCCAACAGTTTGCTCAGCACTTTTTACAATATAAAGGGAGACAATACAGTTCAATAAAAGAGGGTTAGGAGGAGGGTCCTGCTCCTTGGAGCTTACAATCTAAGATATAATTTATATATATATATATATATATATATATATATATATATATAATACCTTACATTGTAAGCTCCAAGGAGCAGGACCCTGCTCCTAACCCTCTTTTATTGAACTGTATTGTCTCCCTTTATATTGTAAAGTGCTGAGCAAGTGTGTGTGTGTTTGTATTATTATATATATATATATATATATATATATACATACACACACATATACATACATACACACACAGGATACATACATATGTATATATCAGCCAATTAATGACAATCATAACAGATCCATAGTAACTGAATGATCAGAACATGATATGCGCAGCCTCTCTCTAGTTACATTGTCGCAGCGTCAAGACTTCGATGAGAATCCATTACCTCTACCCATGATGACTGCGGACCGGGCGAAACCAACACCAGCCGAAGCTTGCAGGGCACGGGACCGGTTACGATCAAAAAGACAATCACTGCATTAAAATCAACTCTGAAGTTTAAAGCCCCACACGCTACATGTACTGTGCACGCCGTGCCACACACGTCTCCGCCCGGCAAACTTTTGATTGGATCACATCGCTGTCTGTTAAGCGACTCGGGCTGCCTATTGGTAGAAACATCAACGCCTGCATGCACTCCCAACACGTTGCCCAACCCACTTCTCCGATGAGCTTACTTTTAAATTTCTATGGCCAACAATCTCATTGGTCGCAAAGGAGGGGCGGTGTCTCGCGGTGGTAAGCCAAAGGGCCGAAGGAAGCCAAGAGCTACAGGAGGGGATGTATAGAGGATGTATAGAGGGTGTATAGAGGATGTATAGAGGGTGTATAGAGAGGGTGTATAGAGGATGTACAGAGGATGTACAGAGGGTGTATAGAGGGTGTATAGAGGGTGTATAGAGGGTGTATAGAGAGGATGTATAGAGGATGTATAGAGGGTGTATAGAGGGTGTATAGAGAGGATGTACAGAGGGTGTATAGAGAGGATGTATAGAGGGTGTATAGAGGGTGTATAGAGAGGATGTATAGAGGGTGTATAGAGGATGTATAGAGGGTGTATAGAGAGGATGTATAGAGGGTGTATAGAGGGTGTATATAGAGGGTGTATAGAGGGTGTATAGAGAGGATGTATAGAGAGAATGTATAGAGGGTGTATAGAGAGAATGTATAGAGAGAATGTACAGAGGATGTATAGAGAGAATGTACAGAGGATGTATAGAGAGAATGTACAGAGGATGTATAGAGGGTGTATAGAGAGAATGTACAGAGGATGTATAGAGAGAATGTACAGAGGGTGTATAGAGAGAATGTATAGATGGTGTATAGAGAGAATGTATAGAGGGTGTATAGAGAGAATGTATAGAGGATGTATAGAGAATGTACAGAGGATGTATAGAGGGTGTATAGAGAGAATGTACAGAGGGTGTATAGAGAGAATGTACAGAGGATGTATAGAGAGAATGTACAGAGGATGTATAGAGAGAATGTACAGAGGATGTATAGAGAGAATGTACAGAGGATGTATAGAGAGAATGTATAGAGGGTGTATAGAGAGAATGTATAGATGGTGTATAGAGAGTGTATAGAGGGTGTATAGAGAGAATGTATAGAGGGTGTATAGAGAGAATGTATAGAGGGTGTATGATAGAGAGAATGTATAGAGAGAATGTATAGAGGGTGTACAGAGGATGTATAGAGAATGTACAGAGGATGTATAGAGGGTGTATAGAGAGAATGTACAGAGGATGTATAGAGAGAATGTATAGAGGGTGTATAGAGAGAATGTATAGAGGGTGTATAAAGGATGTATAGAGAGAATGTACAGAGGGTGTATAGAGAGAATATACAGAGGATGTATAGAGACAATGTACAGAGATAATGTACAGAGGATGTATAGAGAGTGTATAGAGGATGTATAGAGAGAATGTACAGAGGATGTATAGAGGATGTATAGAGAGAATGTACAGAGGATGTATAGAGAGAATGTACAGAGGATGTATAGAGGGTGTACAGAGAGAATGTATAGAGGGTGTATAGAGAGAATGTACAGAGGATGTATAGAGGGTGTACAGAGGATGTATAGAGAGAATGTACAGAGGATGTATAGAGGGTGTACAGAGAGAATGTATAGAGGGTGTATAGAGAGAATGTATAGAGAGAATGTACAGAGGATGTATAGAGGGTGTATAGAGACAATGTACAGAGGATGTATAGAGACAATGTACAGAGGGTGTATAGAGGGTGTACAGAGAGAATGTATAGAGGGTGTATAGAGAGAATGTACAGAGGATGTATAGAGGGTGTATAGAGAGAATGTATAGAGAGAATGTACAGAGGATGTACAGAGGATGTATAGAGGGTGTATAGAGGGTGTATAGAGAGAATGTACCGAGGATGTATAGAGGGTGTATAGAGGATGTTTAGAGAGAATGTACAGAGGATGTATAGAGGGTGTATAGAGAGAATGTACAGAAAAGGTATAGAGGGTGTATAGAGAGAATGTATAGAGAGGATGTATAGAGAGGATGTATAGAGAGGATGTATAGAGAGGATGTATAGAGGATGTATAGAGAGAATGTACAGAGGATGTATAGAGAGAATGTACAGAGGAAGTATAGAGGGTGTATAGAGAGAATGTACAGAGGATGTATAGAGGGTGTATAGAGAGAATGTACAGAGGATGTATAGAGAGAATGTACAGAGGATGTATAGAGGGTGTATAGAGAGAATGTACAGAGAATGTACAGAGGGTGTATAGAGAGAATGTACAGAGGATGTATAGAGAGAATGTACAGAGGATGTATAGAGGGTGTATAGAGAGAATGTACAGAGGATGTATAGAGGGTGTATAGAGAGAATGTACAGAGGATGTATAGAGGGTGTATAGAGAGAATGTACAGAGGATGTATAGAGAGAATGTACAGAGGATGTATAGAGAGAATGTATAGAGGATGTATAGAGAGAATGTATAGAGGGTGTATAGAGAGAATGTACAGAGGGTGTATAGAGAGAATGTACAGAGGATGTATAGAGAGAATGTACAGAGGATGTATAGAGAGAATGTACAGAGGATGTATAGAGAGAATGTACAGAGGATGTATAGAGAGAATGTACAGAGGATGTATAGAGAGAATGTACAGAGGATGTATAGAGAGAATGTACAGAGGATGTATAGAGAGAATGTACAGAGGATGTATAGAGAGAATGTACAGAGGGTGTATAGAGAGAATGTATAGAGGGTGTATAGAGAGAATGTACAGAGGATGTATAGAGCTGATATATGATGTATGACATTAGACTACCAGTAAAAGAAACCTTACCCACCTAAAGACCAAGCCTTTTCTGACACTTTTTGTTTACATTTATACATTTACATCTTTTAACCACTTTGCACTCCAGAGGATTTACCCCCCTTCCTCACCAGGCCATTTTTTGCAGTACAGCGCTGCTTTGCTTTAACTGACAATTGCGCGGTCATGCAACGCTGCACTCAGATGAAATTTACATCCTTTTTTTCCCCACAAATAGAGCTTTATTTCTGTGGTATCTGATCACCTGTGCATTTTTTATTTTTTGCGCTATAAACAAAAAAAAAATGACAATTGTGAGAAAAAAACTTTTTTTTTACTTTTTTCTATTAAACATGTCCAGCAAAAAAAGTTTTAAAATAAAATTTCAGCACAAATTTAGGCCAGAATGTATTATATACATATACAGTACACATTATATATATATACTGGAATTTAAAAAAAAAGGTTTTTTTACTAGTAATGGTGGCGATCAGCGACTTATAGCGGCACTGTGGCAAGCATTCTAACACTGGGGGGAGTTGACTTGGTGTCACTGATTTCCTCAGTGACACCAATACAGTGATCAGTGCTAATAAAAAGCACTGCCACTGTACTAATGACACTGGGCAGAAAGGGGTTAACATGAGGGTCGATCAAAGGGTTAACTGTGTGCTGTGTGTGTTTTACTGTGTGCTGTGTTTCACTGTAAGCACACAGCCTTGTATGGCTCTGCTTTGCATCTCCGGGTAGGGGGCGCCTGCACTCCCTACCCACGCCACCAGCTATGGCTGTCAATCACTGGGACCCGGCCGGTGATTACCCGCTGGCGCCTGGTGATTACACAGCCATCCAGAGCAGTGTGCTTACAGTGAAGCACACTCGCCCCCTAGTAAAACACTCCCAGTACACAGTTAACCCTTTGATCACCCCTCATGTTAACCCCTTCCTGCCCAGTGCCGTTAGTACAATGTCAGTGCTTTTTTTGTTAGCACTAATCACTGGGGATGTCAGTGACACCAAGTCAGTTACCCCCAGTGTCAGAATACCCACCGCAGTCCCACTATAAGTTGCTGATCGCTGCCATTATTAGTAAAAAAAAAACCCAGTATCTATACCGGCATTTGTAAATGCTATAACTTTCACGTAAACCAATTAATTTACACTTATTGGGATTTTTGTTTAGCAAAGACTTTGCAGAATATATTTTGGCCTAAATTTATGACAAAATTTGATTTTTAAAGACAAATTTTACTGGACATGTTTAACCTCTTTTGCGCCGCCCTATAGTAGAAATACTGCTACAGGGTGGCACGGGTGCGCAAGATCACTATACGTGATTCACACTCCCGCGGTTTTCGCACCCCTCCCAGATAGCATCAGATTGGCTGTCAGTACACCAGTAACCACATTTAACCCCTTGATTGCCAGGAACACGCTCACAATAAACCTCCATTGCTAGTATAGTGTCTGAACGGATCAATATGATCAGATCAGCACTATACCAGCATTCACATTAGTATAGTGTCCCCAAAAATGCAGCATTAGCGGGATCAGCCCTGGCACCTGCCAGCACCTGCGTTTAGCCCCTACGCTTACCCCCCCCATCACTGTCACTTGATACATTGCACACAAAACCGCAGTGTTTGCAGAATCAGGTCTGATCTCTGTTAGCACTTGCCGGTAAATTTTTTTGCAGCGGTTCAAGCAGTCCCTGACAGCCAGGTGATCTTTTTCCTGTGAGTTGCACTAGGTACCTAAAATTTAGTGGCCAAAATGTCAATAGAAAGGTACTCTAGTGAAGAGGCCTACAGGATTCTGAGCATGTCAGATGAGAGCGAAGGGGAAGACTCACTGACACAATCCGCCTCAGAATACGAACCTGTAGACAGCACCCTGACAGATAGCTCAGACGATGGAGAAGAGGTCCATGCTAAGGTCAGGCCCTGTTCCCAGGTTGCTGAGATGTTACAAACGCATGATGACTCTCATGTGCAGCAGAGTGCCAGTAGTAGTGCCGCTCTACCTTTTGATGAACTAGCGAGCACCAGTGGCCTAGTACATCCTGATATTTCACATACCAGTACTGCAGTATAACTTGGTGACGTTGCGAGTCTCATGAGTGCAGTACAAGCTGGTGCGGTGGCAAGTATTGTCCCATAACCACCAAGACTTCGCACACAAACCTGTATAGCTCCTAGTGTCCTTCCAGATGTGCTTGTAAATCTCGACTGGTAGCCCACAAATTCTGCAGCACCCGTACTCCCCCCATTCACTGCCCAACCCGGATTTCAGGTGGAAACAGCAAATTTAAATACTCCCCTTGATTTGTTTGGAGCTGTTTTTCACAGAAGATCTGTATGCATTGATTGTGGATCAAAGCAATTTATATGCACAACAGTTTATCGCCGCCAACCCAAATTCAAACCTTGTCAGACCATGTGCATGGAAACCCATAACGGTTTCTGAATTTGAAGTTTTTTTGGGCCTAACCCTCAACATGGGCTTTGCTAAAAAAAAATGAATTGCGGCTGTATTGGTCCACAGACCCGATTAATCATATGCCCGTGTTCTCTGCTGCCATGGCCAGGAATAGATATGAGAATATAATGTGTTTTATGCATTTCAGTGATAACACATTCTGCCATCCTCGGGATGACCCTGAATTTGACCGGCTCCACAAAATTTGGCCCCTCGTAAATCACCTTAACCAAAAATTTGCAGATGTCTATACTCCCCAGCAAAACATCTGCGTTGATGAGTCATTAATTTTTCTGGCCACCTTGCATTCAAACAATTTCTTCCCAGCAAGTGTGCCAGAAATGGGGCCAAGATGTATAAGACCTGTGAGAGGGCAACAGGCTATACATATCAGTTTCGGATTTACGAGGGAAAAGATAGTCCTGTGGAGCCCTCCGGATGCATGGGAAACAGTGACAAGATAGTTTGGGACTTGGTGTCATCCTTTTTCCATATGGGGTACCACTTCTACGTGGACAATTTTTATTCAAGCGTGCCACTATTTAGACATTTGTCTTGGAATTGGCACATGTGGCACCGTGCAACCTAATCGCTAGGGCTTCACTCCAACTGCTTGTGAATACCTGTCTTAGAAAGGGGGAAAAGCCTGCTTGAGAAATCAGGATGTCATTCATCTGCAGCGCTGACTTTTTTTATTCTGACAGCAACAGGGTCTTGCTCTCAGAAATACATAGTGTATATTTACATTCCCTGTGATAGTATTAAAAGTGATAAAAAAAAAAATGGAAGGGACAGTGTAAAAATAATTTTAAAAAATCAAAATAACTTTTAAAAAAAACCCTCGCCCCCTGTATTTTGCAGATCTCGTTTGTTGCCACAAGTTTTTGGAAAATGAAAAAAGAAAACAAAAACATATTTTTTTCTTTTCTTTTTTTATATTTCAAAACCTTGTGAGAAATATTAGATCTGCAAAATACTCACCATGCCTCTTTTTAAATTCCTTGGTGTGTCTACTTTCCAAAAATGGGTAATTTGGGGGGTTTGGTGCTATCCTGGCATTTCAGGGCCTAAGAAACTGTGATAGGTAGTGAGGAAGTGAAATGAGGAAGTTACGCACCTGCAGGCTTTCAAAGTGGTCATTGGATTTCAGGCTCCTGTATGTGGCTAGGCTCTCAAAAAATTTCACAAATGTTGTATCCCCATACTCGGTAGAAGTAGCAGAGTGTATTTTGGGGTGTAATTCCACATTGGCTTGTGTGAGCAATATATTATTTAAGTGACAACTTTGAGTAAAAAACTAAAAAAAATGTTTTTGTCATTTTCCAAAAACTTGTGGAAAAAAAAATAAATCTTCCATGGACTCAATATGCCTCTCAGCATATAGCTTAGGGTGTCTACTTTCTGAAAAGGGGTCATTTGGGGGTGTTTTGTAGTGTCCTGGTGTTTTAGCGCCTAAAGAAATGTGATGGGCAGTCAGAAAGTTAAAGCTTTCTGTAAAGCTAAAAGTAAAAGAGCAACATCAAAACATCACTTCTAGCTGAATGTAAACAAGGCCTTTTTTTTTTTTAACCACTTGTCCTCCTGAGGATTTACCCCTTTTAATGACCAGGCTTTTTTTGCTATTCGGCACTGCACTATTTCAACTGGTAACTGAGCAGTCATGCAATGCTGTATCCAAACAAAATTTATGTACTTTTTCACACAATTAGAGCTTTCTTTTGGTGGTATTTGATTACCTCTGCGCTTTTTATTTTTTGCACTATAAACAAAAAAAGACCTAAATTTTTTTAAAAAAACAATATTTTCTCATTTCTGTCATAAAAAATATCCCAAAAAACTAAAATTTCGTCATAAATTTAAACCAAAATGTATTCTGCTACATGTTTTTGGTTAAAAAAATCCCAATAAGTGTATATTGATTGCTTTGTGTGAAAGTTATAGCATCTACAAACTATGGTATAGATAATAGAATTTACACAGCTTTTCCTTTCTGACTGCTCATCACATTTCTTGAGGTGCTAAAATACCAGGATAGTACAAACACCCCCAAATGACCCCTTTTTGGAAAGTAGACACCCTAAGCTATCTGCTGAGAGGCATATTGAGTCCATGGAAGATTTATATTTTTTCCACAAGTTTGTGGAAAATGACAAAAACTTTTTTTTTTTTTTTTTTTTACACAAAGTTGTCATTTCAATTTAAAGACTTTTTGGGAGTCTAGCTACATACAGGAGCCTGAAATCCAATGACCACTTTGAAAGCCTGAAGGTGCGTAACTTCCTCATTTGACTTCTTCACTACCTATCACAGTTTCAAAGGCCCTGAAATGCCAGGATAGCACCAACCCCCCCCCCCCCCCAAATGACCCCTTTTTGGAAAGTAGACACCCCAAGGAATTTTGAAAGAGGCATGGTGAGTATTTTTCAAATCTAATTTTTTCTCACAAGGTTTTGAAATATAAAAAACGAAAAGAAAAAATGTTTTTGTTTTTTTCTTCATTTTCAAAAAAACTTGTGGGAACAAATGAGATCTGCAAAATACTCAGCATACTTCTTATCAAATTCCTTGGGTTGTCTACTTTCCAAAAAGTGGTCATTTGGGGGGGGCTTGGTGCTATCCTGGCATTTCAGGGCCTCCGAAACTGTGATAGGTAGTCAGGAAGTGTAATGAGGAAGTAATGCAGGCCATAGATGGGTCGAAAATCAGCCGATTTTTCGGCCGAAAATAAAATCGGCCGATTTTCGGATCGTTAGTGGGCTATTTGTTCGGCCGTTTTTCGGTATTTTGGCCGATTTTTTTTATCGGTAAAGTTGGATAAAAAGTTACCGATAAAAAATCTGCGCATGAGCAGTGACCTGCAAGAGGAAGACAAAAAGAAGAAGAAGAGGAAGAAGAAGAGGATGAAGAAGAAGAAGAGGATGATGAGGAAGAAATAGAAGAGGATGAGGAAGATGAAGAAGAGGATGAAGAAGAGGATGAGGATGAAGAAGAGGATGAGGATGAAGAAGATGAGGATGAAGAAGAGGATGAGGATGAAGAAGAAAAGGATGAGGATGAAGAAGAAGAGGATGAGGATGAAGAAGAAGAGGATGAGGAAGAAGAAGATGAGGATGAAGAGGATGAGGATGAAGAAGAAGAGGATGAAGAAGAAGTAGGATGAAAAATAAGAAAAAAAACATTTACAGCGGTTGCAACATTGTATCTATTTGTTTCCGAATAAAAACATCTGTATCCTAAATGGAAACAAATAGATACAATATTGCAACCGCTGTAAATGTCAAGGAACTGTCAAAGAAAAGCGGAGCTCTCTGCAGGGACACTTTTTGCAGGCTGTAGAC